GGTCTTCTCAGAACCCAGCTTACAATCATTTTACCCCTAATGACCTCCCAGCTCTTGATTCCATTGCAGGTTGCTGGCTGGAAACAGCCTTTTAGGAACTTGGCTTATATCAAGTTTCTAGTTTGTCTGCCCCAAATCAGTGGGGAAGGAAGAAGTTAGCAACTGCCTCAGGCTAAGGATGTTAAATTGCATTTAAAACAGCTACTTGAGTAGTCGATGGAAATTAATCGATGGAGGGAAACTGCAGAGCTGAAGTGGGAATTAGCGCCCGGTCTCATGAGCTAGCCCCACTGCATCTCCACCTTCTAAATGTAGTAAGAGCCACCTAGCTCTTATTAAATTTAAAAGGCCAGAGGCACAGCACGGAACCCCACTGTGCTTCTGCCTCCTCTGTCCCCATGCAGAGATGGTGCTTTTAAGCCGGCTTCTTCTAGCGACTAGTTGCTTACATCCCTACCCCGGGCTGAGCCCCCCTTGGCAGTGGTGCTCATTAGCAGTCCCTGGCTGCCTCACGCCTTTAGGGAAAACTCCCTCTCGTTTCTGTGGCCAATCTTTCTTTTAAATTGCATTTCTTCAGGTAAAGTATATTCCACTTGTGCACGTAAATGGCAGTGCTTGCTTACAGGAATGTTTTAGTCTTTCCACCTGTAAGATGGGGGGTGTCCCCTATTATAAACTAATAGTCGAAAAGCTAAAAGAGATCATTGTAATCATTTGGTCTATGGTCCTGCATGTCACAGAACATAGAATCTCAACAGCTGACTCCAGTAATGGATCCATAATCTCTAGCTGTGTCACTGTAGTCCTCAAATCATATTTTACAGATTCCAAGTTACAGAGACTTTACCATTTATTCTAGTTCTAGCTGTCAAACCTGCAGAAGAGATGGCAGAGACTCTCTGTGTGTGGGAGGGAGGGGGGGAGAGGGAGGGAATGGTTTCAATATAACCTAGGGGAAAATTCCTTTCTGACCCCAAATATGGTGGTCAGTTAGAGCCTGAGCGTGCTGTGAGACTCATCTGCCAGACACCTAGGAAAGAATTCACTATAGTAACTCAGAGCCTTCCACATCTGGAATCCATCTCCAGACATTGGAGGTATTTGCTATTAGCAGTCCCAGATGGGCCACATTCCATTGTAGGCAATTTCACCATATAGATATTAGTTATGTTTTTGTCTCCACTGCTTGGCTAGGAAGACTGTTTCAGAACATCACTATGATGGTTAGAAATCTTCATCTAATTTCAAACCTAAATTTTTTGATTGCCAATTTATGTCCATGTGTTCCTAAGCCAAAATAACTCCTCTCCAGTGTTCCCTCTAATCTTTTCCATCCATGTGCAGATTTTTTCCCAGCCACATGCAGAATAATTTGTATGTGCACCAGGGCATGTGTGACTGTGCACCACCAATAGAAACACAAAACCTAGCTGTGGACACTCTGCTAATTAGCTGGCCAGCATTTGAATTTCTCCTGACTGGCCACACAAGTGCACAGCTTACAGGGAACACTGCTCCTCTTGCTTCCTGGTGTTTATCCCTCTGATATATTCATAGAGAGTAATATCTCCCTTCAGCCTTTGTTTAGTTAAGCTAAACAATCCAAGCTCCTTAAGTCTCTTGTAAGATAGGCTCTCCATTCCTATGACTTTCTTAGTAGTCCTTCTTTGCACCTGTTGGAGAAACTGGACACTTTGGCTACGTCTACACTGGCCCCTTTTCCGGAAGGGGCATGTAAATTTCAGCAGTCGTCGTAGGGAAATCCGCGGGGGATTTAAATATCCCCCGCGGCATTTAAATAAAAATGTCCGCCGCTTTTTTCCGGCTTTTAAAAAAGCCGGAAAAGAGCGTCTAGACTGGCCCCGATCCTCCGGAAAAAGCGCCCTTTTCCGGAGGCTCTTATTCCTACTTCGCGGGGGATTTAAATATCCCCCGCGGCATTTAAATAAAAATGTCCGCCGCTTTTTTCCGGCTTTTAAAAAAGCCGGAAAAGAGCGTCTAGACTGGCCCCGATCCTCCGGAAAAAGTGCCCTTTTCCGGAGGGTCTTATTCCTACTTCGAATAAGAATAAGACCCTCCGGAAAAGGGCGCTTTTTCCGGAGGATCGGGGCCAGTCTAGACGCTCTTTTCCGGCTTTTTTAAAAGCCGGAAAAAAGCGGCGGACATTTTTATTTAAATGCCGCGGGGGATATTTAAATCCCCCGCGGATTTCCCTACGACGACTAGTGAAATTTACATGCCCCTTCCGGAAAAGGGGCCAGTGTAGACGTAGCCCATGAGATGGATTAAAGCCAAATGAAACTGCACTTCAGGTGATTGAAACTTTTGGAGCTAGATTAAGGGCTGAAAGTAGCACATTGATGACCTGATCCAGTAGTACAAAATCAATCCATTAAGTCCAGAGAAAGAATACTGGAAGTGCCTCTATTAGATGCTTCAAAGGAAATTGAGGGTCACAGGGAGCAGAGGCTGGGGATGGGAATTCATGTAAATGTACTTACTTGTTTTCTGTTCACGAGAGATTGGGAAGAGAAAGTCTTTCCTGATCTCTACCACTTGACAATGACTATCTCATTCCTAGATCATAGGACATACTACTAAAGATACTGAATCAGAAAACAAATGAATTTATCTTTAGAGTGAAAAGTGTGGGCTAAGTTTTAATCTCTTTAGGGATTAGTCAACCTGCGGCAGTCAGACACTATGTAGTACAATTTCCTTTTGATTTTAAATGGACTGACTGGATTCACTTTGTGACCACTTGTTCTACTATTAATGAATATTGTGTAACACAATAGTGCAGTGCTAGTGGCACATATTGCTAAAATTACAGGTATTGTCCAGAAGCATTGCCAACATTTCCACTGCTTACTGGGCTCTTAGAAGACATTGAGGGGTAACTTAGAGCTAAAGAACAGCACAGAACACTGAGAGTCAGGACTGGTGGCTATAAACAAACTTTGTGACCATGGGAAACTTGGCCACACCCAAAAGTGGGCATCTGGCTAACTGAAATCATGCTGGACAGTGGATGTTGCCAGATCAGTGTGTGCCAGATTAGAGAAGTTCAATTCAATGTTTTTCAGGTTCTGCTAGCAAATTCCATTTCTGAAGGGTTCATAATTAAAATGTAAACATTTCTGCTAGACCAATACTCATCTCAGAGCTTTCACTCAAGAAATGTCTTACCCAGCATAAATCAGCATAGAATTATTCCTTGAGGCTATGTCTACACCGCAAAGTTTTTGTGCAAAAATGGCCGTTTTTGTGCAAAAACCTGTGGAACGTCCACACCTCAAAAGTGCTTTTGCGCAAGTAAATCAGCAGTAAAATGGCAGAATAGAGGGCTTTTGCTGGTGTAGGTAAACCTCCTTCTATGAGGCATAACTCTTTTGCGCTGTAGCTATTGCGCAAAAAGGCAAGTGTGGACGCTCCAGAGGTTTCCCTATGGGAAAAAGCACAGGTGCTCACAACTTTCTTGTGCAAGAGCATCCATGCGGTGTGGACACTCTTGCGCAAAAGCACATCACTTGCTCTTGTGCAAGAAGTTTTTGCGCAAAAAACCTTGCACAGGCTTCTTGCACAAGAAGCCAGCAGTGTAGTAGCTGAAGAGCAGGTGGTAGTGTACATTTTTAAACTATTCAGGTCCCCCCCATTTTTTGACCCAGAGATATATTAGTAAACAAAAATAAAAATCTTTATTAATTTGAGACATTTTTGTTCTCCTATAATTTTCCTATTTATTAAAATTCAGTGT